CCTACCCAACCCAACCCCCAACCCCAACCCCCAACCCCAACCCCAAACCCAACCCAAACCCAAACCGTAACTACTACTAACAACTATCTCTCTCTCTCTCTCTCTCTCTCTCTAAGTTGAAACCTCCTTGTTGAATATACATCTCACCTACTCCCTCCCCCCCTTCTCCATCTCTCTCTCTCTTTCACAGTGTCTTAGCTTTTATATTTTGAAGCCACTACCTAACCCGTCTCCTTCTTCCCCACACAATTCATCTTCATCTCGGCAACTCAGAGCCACCCAACCCATTTCTTTTCTCTATCTAACTCAAATCCACCCAAGTCATCTCTTCTTCTATGCTGCTTAAAATTCAATCCCAAAACCAATCAACCTGTCTTCTTCTTGACTCAAAACCGCTGATTCAATCCCTAAACCACCCAAAACAAAATTCCAATAAACCAAAGGCACAAACCCACCAACCAAACAACAAAATCCTCTCTTTGAGACTGGAAACACAAAACCACTCTTCTCCAACCCAAAACCACTCTTCTCCAACCCAAAACCACTAATTAATCCCCTGAAAACCACCAAACACCCACACCTGTAATGGCTTCTGATCCCAATTCAACAACCCCTCCAAATTTTTGGGGTGACACACCAGAAGAAGAATACTACACATCGCAAGGAGTAACCCACTCTTCCTCTTACTTCACAACTCCCCACGGTCGACTCTTCACTCAGACATGGAAGCCTCTCTCCTCTTCTTCTAGAGCGTTAGTATGTTTCACCCATGGCTATGGCTCTGATACAGGTTGGCTTTTCCAAAAACTCCCCATTGCCTTTGCTCAGTGGGGTTACTTATCCATTGCCGCCGATCTTCTCGGTCACGGCCGATCCGACGGTCTTCGTTGTTATATGGGAGATATGAACAAAGTGGCATCTGCCTCTTTGATTTATTTTCAATCAGTGAGAGACTCAGATGAATGCAAAGAAATCCCTGCTTTTCTGTTTGGTGAATCAATGGGTGGGTTGGCTACTATGATGATGCATTTTTTGGACCCAAATGGGTGGAGTGGGCTCATGTTTTCAGCTCCATTATTTGTTATTCCTGAACCCATGAAGCCATCGAGGGTGAGGCTGTTCCTTTATGGGATGCTTATGGGTTTGGCTGATACTTGGGCTGTGATGCCTGACAATAAGATGGTATGTTAATGTACTTGATGGTCTTTTTGGTTTTTTCACTTTTACTCTGATGAGTTTTCTTTTTTTTTTTTTTTTTTTTTTTGAAGGTAGGTTGAAGCTACTTACCTCTTTTAGTTATAAAATTTAAATCCCAATATCAGTGAAATCCTTTCTTTTTTAAAAAAAATTTATATAAGGTTGCAACCTTAAAATGTAGAATTAAAGAATGTAGAATTAAAGATGCACCTCAAAAATATAGGAAAAGGTTGTTTTAATGTTTGAAACCCTCTAATTAACCATCTCATCTCAACATCTAAATGCATGAATATGAAAAAGAACAAAGATTTTGACTCTCAGAAATGGGGGTAGATATTAGTTTGATAAGTTAGCCGTATAGGAGGGCTTCAATTGCCCATTTGGTCAGTTTTTCTTTCAATTTTGTTTTGCTTCCAGTTAAAAGTTAATTAGGCTTTTCTTTTGTTTAGTTTTTTCACATTTGGTAGTGGATTGCTATTTCCACCATGTTTATTGCTTCAATTTCACACCCATAACGTGTTGGAGAATTTCCGAATTTAAGGCTGAAACTTTTTGGTAATAACCAATGAGAGTGTGGCTGCAGCAGAAACCACGGTTTTAAAAATCGGTGAACTAGACTAGAACGGGCCTGTTCAGATTGGGAATCGTCCAAACCAGTTCAGTTTTGCCTAAATATTGCGAACTGGCCAATTCTTCGCCAGAACTAGTCGGTTTTAGTAGAGAACCGGTCCTACTTTATTTTTAATATTTTTAAGGTTTTTGCTCGCCTTCTTTTTTATTCTCAGGTTCACTAGGCTGGATCGCCAATCCAGACTACCGATCCAGATGGGAGGGGCAATCTAGATCATCTAACCGTATTATTGACCCTTGGCAAAAACATTGTTCAATTAGCGAACCCCGTCTCTTTTTCTTGAATTTTTCCCATTTATTGTAATCCCGTCTTCATTTTTTCACTTTTCATATTTATCAATTTCTTTCTTTCCATTTTCATGATTCAGTTTGGGGCAAGTCCAATTTAAGCCCCTCGTACAAAAACTGCAATCCTATACTACCCGAAAGTACTCTAGGCTCTAATCCTCATGAGGATGCGTGTTATGAGGATCATCGCCATCCAATCTATGGGTTGGACGGTGATGCATAGAGAAGGGGATCTTCCCTAATCGATATGTCCTCTCCTTTCATCACCACCAACCCATTGCTTGAACTTTATCACTACGCATCCCTATGATCATGAGGATCAATGTATACTTACCAAACAACACAGTTTTTTTTTTTGTAGAAAATAATACAAAAGAAAGTTTTGCTTCTTATTACCTGTTAATTAAATTAAAACAATCAAATTTACCTGACCACCTTTTATCTCGATTATGCTTTTGTGTTACAGGTGGGTAAGGCAATCAAGGATCCTGAGAAACTCAAGATCATAGCATCAAACCCTCGAAGATACACCGGAACACCAAGAGTGGGGACTATGAGAGAATTGAAAAGAGTTTGTGAATACATTCAAGCAAATTTCGACAAGGTGAAGGTGCCATTCTTGACTGTTCATGGAACAGCTGATGGGGTAACTGCACCCGAGTCGAGTAAGTGGCTCTACGAGAAGGCGTCGAGTGAAGATAAGACATTGAAACTTTATGAAGGAATGTATCATTCTCTTGTTCAAGGCGAGCCCGATGAAAATAGTGAGAGAGTTCTCGCAGACATGAGAGAATGGATCGATGCAAGGGTGGACAAGCTCCAAAATGTGAAGAAATAGAGAGAGAGATAGAGTATCCCAGATTTGAATGGTCTGTGGGGATAATTGTTTGAAAACTGTTGTTTTACAGAGAAAGATGCTCGATAAGCATTTCCAAGAGTGTGGGAGATGCATGCTTTGTATTTAAAGATGTTTGATTGGCATTATAATTAAGATTTGAATATGAACTTCTATTGTGTATGATAAAATGGTTTCCTCATGATCCAAGGGATAAATGCCCAAATGCCACATGTCTGGATCTGTTTGATCTAAGTTAATTAATTCATCGGTTGAATCTAAGTTAATTAATTGCATTACTCTTTTTGGGTCAAAGTGGAAAAAGATTGGATCCATCAAATAAGGAATTAATGTGTGGTATCATGTTACAACGCACATTGGTTTCTTTCAACTGATGTTCCACTATCAAAAGGTGAACACTCTTCTTTTTAATATGGTAAAAGGCAGGCAATGAAATCTGATCATTGGTCCCATGTGCCCCACTATCCCTTAGGTGGGTCTGATTCAACAGTTAGGAATGTACAGTACCACTTTTCCTGATACTTATTAATTTGAGAACCATGGAAACCTATTAGTTTTTCTTGTGCAGTAAAACATACAAATCTTATAAAGGAAACAACAAAAGTAGGAAGAATTGTCATGTTCTCAACAGTCGTCCAACCTCAAGTTCCAAAACCAAGTAATATAAGCCATTCAATTGTCCCCCTAGAGGGATGAGTTCAGCAAAGATCTAAGATCTCACAATAACATCATTAATCCATCGAGGACTATTAGACACTGCCCTTCTATCTTACCCTTTTGATGTTTAGCAAATTCCTCCGATAAAGGCCCAAAGAAGGATGAGAGATATCAAAGAGTTCCACTTAGACAACCTTGACTTCAACCTCCATTGAATCTACAACACCAGTCGGTAGAAACAACCTTTTTTCGCATATCTTGGCTCCACCTCTAATTAGCCTTCTCGATCCCAAGTGTCAAAGTACAACTGTCAAAGTCTTGCAAATACCATTTTGGTAGACATCTTGGGACACCTCCTTGAACACTCTTGAGGTGCTCCCAAATCCTGATTATGCTGTTGGACAATTACGCCTTGAACTTCTCCAATGCAAATACCCAAGAAACAGGGTTTGTTTGAATGCAGTCAACCACCAACTCCCTCCTCACTGACCCTTATCCAAAATCTTCATTAATAATAGGGCCTCAAGAAACTTATATTTACAATCCACAGGAAGGAATCCATTGTTTTTTCTTTTTTTCTGTCTAATGTATAGCAGTTGTGTGTCACATTGCTGTTGACTGTGTGCACAAAGAGCACCAAAACGGCAACCAAATGCCAGAAGTTAAGTTTGGGCCTCACAAAATGACCGGTCAACAGAAGGTAGATTACACAACATTTCTGTAGAGAGAAAGAAGGCTGTTCAGAATGGACAAGAGAGCAAGGTGGTGACCCTTGCACGACTGTCTAGGCTGGGGTAGAGCAAATAATCCTAAGACAGTCGTTGAGTCATTGAGTCAATGTTTGGCCATCTGGTGTGCAAACCGTGTTTGCATAATTCCACCTTCAGGTCTTGACGTCATCAATGTAAATGACATTGGCTTGAATCCCATGATTTTCCAAATAAGAGAAATAATTCATTTATGCATGACGATCCATCAAGGGAACCTTCTCAAACAAGAAAGGACATGGGGGATGCCAAGCTCTAAGCTGGCTCGCCCAGGCCGCAAACCAAATCATGTTGCCTCGGCATTAGGCTAAGTCCATCGCCACTAAATCCAGAGAGAGAAATGCACCCAGTTTGACTCGAGTGAATCCAGCATATCCTATGGGAAAGCCCAAGTACCATTTTTTACATGATTGATAAGCACGTGTATAAATATATGCAAAGTTACACGCATATCTATGTATACATAGGAACTTAGTATTCGATTATGTATATATGTTCCAAATTCTATTGCATGACCTCCCCAAAACAATCTTCATAAAGTTCCATAACTGTCACTTCCCATATACCTGACCAGAATTACTCTAATCCATTACAAACACACAACAGAGTCATTCAAAGGGCACAAAGCTACGAAACTATGGGCAGATTTGGCAACCTTGTAACAATATATTTCATTATATACAATCCAGTCCTAACTGTTGAACAAATACAACACATCATTGAAAATGATAAGATGCCCAGCTAGAAAACAATATATTATGTACCTCACAAAATATCAACTAATTGAATGGTAGGCCAAACCAAAAACACTAGGAAAGTATCATTTCATACAACCTAAGCTAAAACAATAAATATATTACTTGGCAAAGAAACCGTTAACATTAACTACTAAATGGACCCATACATAATGACAAATCTAGCTTAAGATGTCACCAGGTAAAGGGATTTCCTCAAAAAAAGGCATTTTTCTTTGAAGAAGCTCCTCACGTTCCTCTGGACCTGCATTTTTCCATGGAAAGCTATGGGGAGGACTAAAAAGGAAACCTTGTTTTAGTCGCCCCAAGTGACGAGAGTGTAACACCTGCTTTGAAACCACTGGTAGCCGGAGGGACTCGTACTCTTTCAGTGCCAAACCCAAGTTTTCAACCCCAGATTTCCTTAGAGAATGGCCAAGTACCCAGGCATCTAGGATAGACATATTAGTACTTCTTAGGCCATGGGGTGAAGTGGGATGAGCTGCATCACCAACCAAGACCACATTATCCCAAGAGAGACGTACTAGAGGATCAGAATCATACATTATATTGATGAAGGGTTCCTTTGTTTCCTTCATGAGTCTAGCCAACTCAGGAACCCAAGCCTTCTCTGCCTCTTGATGCATCTTCTCTACCATGTCACCTCTCACTTTCACTGTCATTGAATTTCCCTGAAATGCATGCAAAGTAAATCAATAGCTTTGTGTCTTTTTGAAATGGATAATATACTTCACAAATATTAGTGCAATGATTTCCATAAAGGGACCCAAAACTTCAATTGAGAGATCTTGATCAGGGTACAAATGGAAGCCAACTATTAAATACATATGGAGGATAAAGAGGACCTTTTCTATACAAAGGTCCTCTTTATACAAAAAAATATGGAGGATAAAGAGGACCTTTGCTATACACAGTGAATATAAATCAAATGGATCAACTTGATTGTGATTTGTATATTTGTCTTTTTTAAGGCACTGTATAAGTTGATAGCAGGATAAATAGAAGTCAGAATGATTTAACTTGACTGCGGGATATAAATACTTCTATTTGGTTGTACTATATGTCAATAGCTGATGATTTACTTGCAATTGTTTAAAGATTTGTGCTATATCAAATTATAAGTTTCGTGTTCTCATTATATTATCAAGCCTATGGCTCCCTTGAGATCCTTATAATAATTATATCCCTCATTGCCCTTCCGATGGGAATTCTTAAGCTAGCACAATGTATATCCTAAACTGCGCCTAACTTCAAAATTTTCAAGTTTCTTGGAAGGAGTTCAATTTAAAACTATTTAGGAATAACAAACTTACTGGCATAAAAATTTAAAGTTCTAAGCAGCACGATGTAACAGTAAATTCAAATTCTTATACATTTATGAAGTAAACAAAAGAATACGAGCCCATTAGTTGCCTTACCTTAAAATGAAAGAAGGAAAACATAAGAAAACCAAATGAAAGACAAAAATTTACACTGTCAGAGGTTACAGCACCAGGATACACCTCTTTGGTAACATTAGTCGACAGCTAAGTAAGTCCCAACACTAAACAAGATGTGTAACTGTCATAGAAACTAAGTGTACATTTGTCCAAAGTCTGGTCCAGGTCAAGTGGACCCAGACTCGACCCTTTGGATCTGGACCCGGATCTGGGTCAGGTTGACCCAACCTGTTCGCCACCCCTAAACCAGCTATAATCCAAAAGGTTAACTATGTAAAGAGGCTTTATCTATTCAAAGCCACATGACTCAAGAAAAACAGATCGAAATATTAAACAGAAATGAGACAACTTAAATAACTATATCAATAAAATGCATACTATAGAAAACGCACAAGGAAAGACAGGGGTATGTGTGTTGGTGTATATGTTTGTATGTACAATACCACATGACATGATCAAGAAGGATGTCATACCTTTGACTGTGGCTCAGGCTGGTTAACATACCAAATCCAATTGATCCTCTTATTTTGGATCTCATATATAACACAATGAGTTCCTTGTGCTAAATCAAAGTAAAGACAATTCCCAAGTTCTGGATAGACTCTCCGAAGTCCAAGTATAATGTCCGAATATTCATTCTCTGAAAAATCAAGAACTCCTCTCCATGCAGAGTAACCTAAATACCTGCTTCACAATAAGGAACGTAGTAATCTATCATACAATACATAGATAAGGCTATGCATACACTTTTGCAACAAGCCATTTTACTTAAGAGCTTCAAGGAGTTTACAGTTGCTCGCTCCAGACTATAATGAACCAAATTTTTGTGACATTCTTTAAAGTCTAAAACCATTAATTTTGACAAAAAAGGAAAAAAAAATTAATGTAGCCCATATTTTCCATTAAATTTTCTAATGATGCCACAACACATTTTAAGCAGACCATTCATGGTTATCTGTTCTAAATAGAAGACGATCATCATTGTGACCTCCTTGTATCAATAGCAGACATTGTATCCTTTCTACTTCTCTCAGTCCTTTTTTGGCTTGTGTCCCTTTGGTGCATTTGTCATGCTATTTGATCATTTTTTTTACTATATATACAACAATTTCATGAATTGCCAATAATCCAATAGCCTAAAGAGAGAATTGTTCTTGATTTTATAATTAAAATTGTTCTTAATTTGAGAAACACCAAAAGGAAAGGACCTTCTCACCAAACTCATTCGCTAAGAAAATGAAAAGACAAAAGGAAGAATATTTCAAAGAATATTACACAACATGAAAGCATCACTAATTTGATCCATTACACAAAAAGCAACCCATAAATCAAGGTCAAGTGTTGTTCAGAAATATTTAATGTTACATTTGTGAAGATGCCAGGTACAAAGGTATATGCTTCAGTGACTAATCGATTGGCCATCAATGCTTGACCTCTCATCAGCAATCCTCGAACTAGTCCATGTTACCTTTTAGTTCTACAAGTATATTTTGCTTCTGTGGCATTTTAATCCAATACCAACTTTACAATACAATACTTTCTTTGCATCCTCTGTCTCCATTGTTTTATGCATGACAAACTTAAATGATACCCCAGTATGTTCATCATTCAACTAAATTTCTTCATAATTTATCATTTTCTAATGTGCAAGACATTTAAAACTACACATGATTCAAAACAGACAATATGAAAACGGTAATAGAAACCCCAGCATTATCTATAAGAATACAACTGAATTATGATCAACGTATGAAACAGCAAGGACCCAGAATGAAAAACCATAAACCCACAAAGAAAATGTACCTAAGTTTATGATCAGGAAAGAAATGGCGCCGAATTGCGGATAAGCACCCATCAGCAGCCACAAGCAAGTCCCCAACAATCTTGATTACACTATCAGTTTCAATGATCTCAACTTGAGCTTGAACACCTTCTTGTGATCTTTGGAACGAAAGGAAATGGTGGCCCCAGAGAACAGTCTGTGGAGGCAAAGAGTAGTAAAGGAGGGCATGGAGATCACCCCAATGAGCTGCTCTGAAACCAAAGTCATCATCCCTGGCTAGTGTCCAACATACCTTCTTCTCGCTATCTGTTGCTTGGTTCTATTTAACAAATCCACAGAATCAAAATTCAAAAGTTCTGGAAAAAATTAAAGTTAGGTTTCATCTTACAACTTCAAAAGGTTTGCAGAAGCCTTAAAGTTGAGTGCAAATCTTATGGACAGTGGAAACTGAAAATCTAACTCACCATTAAAAAAAATGAAAATCCAGATTTTTAAATTTGAGAAGAGAGGGAAGGCTCTTAATTTGGGTTATACTCAGGATTGTATACTACGATACCATTTATACTTACTATAAAGAGTCAACCGTTAACAGTAACCACGAGATGTCGAATTGGATGACTTGGGATATGTCTAGATGTTCAAGAAATTTTTTTGAATTTTAAATCGAGTCGATAACACTTTTGCAACAGCCCAATTTTAAATCTGCCCAAATATCATCAAATTGATCAAGATGGATGAACATGATAAAAAAAATAGATTTCCATGTTTTGAAAATAGTGCATTTTGTAACTATTTTTAGACGGACAATTTTCAAGATTTTCAAGTTTTCATATAAACGCCATCTACAATACTTAAATTTTATAAGTAAAGATAAAAATATAATCTAAAACTTTAAATTCTATAAGTAAAGATAAAAATATAATCTATTATTGAAACCATATTTCCCGACACTATTTGAAGGTGACTCTAATTTGATTAGTTAGAGCCTCAGCTATATACACACCGCACCTGATCAACCTTGAGAGGTAGGGATCCATGGAGGAGGGTCTGTTCTGTAAGCCATTGGGCAAGGACTCGGCACGAGTGCCTGTCGAGGCCGAGGCCTGCACCAGTGGAGCTGCCACTGTGTGCGAGCCCACTCGCCTTCTCCACCACCACCACGTCCCAGCCTGCACCTCCTAGTGAGTGCGCACAAGCTAGCCCTGATATGCTCCCACCCACAATTATGGCCCTTGGCTTCCCCATCATCTCTCTCTTGACCAGTCCTTATCCCTCGCTCCCAAGGAGGCCTTTTTACACACACGGCCTCTCTGTATAGGAAGCCTATTTCTCAGACACCTCTCTCCATATATGTACAC